GTAGCCCGCTGCGCGCAGGCGCCTCGGCATCTGCGCACGGGCCCCGCCCCCGTACCGGCACGTGACCGTTCGCGACGCCAGAACGAGCGCCGGCCTCCTGGGCGGGCAGGCGCACAGGCGCTCTGAGCGGAGAGCGCCCGGGAGAGCTCAGCCAGAAGTATATAGAGCAAGTGCGTCCGGACCAGATTTTGTCATTTATTTTGCTTTTCTTATTTGTAAAGTGATGCTGATAATAATGAGAGTACTAACTCAGTTATTGGGAAAGTGCTGAGAATACTACCACGCATATAGTACCTACTTCACAATGAAAAGCTCGTGTTTTTGCTTACAAGGATCTTACCTTCTATCTCACCCCACACACACTCCTGTCATCATACCTGGCGACTTCAGGCCCTGATCAGAACCATGTTATGTGGTTCCGCAGGCTGTTCACTGCACAGCGCCAGGAGGCGCCTTTCACAGACGATTGTGACCAGTGTCCCCCTTGGAGCTGCACAAACCTGGCCACTCATCCGAGATGAACATGTCTTATCAGATCTTTGACCACTTTCTCATCTCCAATGACAGTGCTTTCTCTCCAATTGGCCACTCATTCCCTCGGTCACACGCCACACACCTCAAGTTCCCTGGATTCTGGTTGCGGGATGACCCCTACCAAACAGCTCGTTATTCTCTCCAGACACCCAGCCCCCTTGGTTTACTCCTGGCCTCCCTTGCTTTCATGTTCAATTCAAATTCCATGGTCTATCTACCATTACAAGTCATTTTTAAAAAGGTCCTCTGGGTAAGTTTCACAAGCAGAAACGTTTATTTTGAGGTTAACTTGATTTTTAAAACGAATATTCAATTTATTAAAATTAGAAATCCCCAAATCGAGTTTTCTTAATTTCAACGAATAAATTTTACAATGCCACTCATAAATCTAGTCATTTTAACAATCACATCATTGGTCCCATTAATAAACTTGATTAAATTCCTTTTGAAGATTTGACATTGCACTTATAAATTTAATAATTCACTTTTCTTTTTAAGTATCACAATTTTCTAACAAAGCCTTTTGGGATTTTATGTAATTCTTGTGAATGAAATAAACTTATATGTTAAGTCATAAGTTCTTTTAAATGTATCAATACAAATTTAATAAGACTTCGACTTAAAATCACAAGTCAGCCGAAACCGGTTTGGCTCGGTGGATGGAGCGTCGGCTGGCGGACTGAAGGGTCCCAGGTTCGATTCCGGTCAAGGGCATGTGCATGGGTTGCGGGCACATCCCCAGTGGGGAGTGTGCGGGAGGCAGCTGATCGATGTTTCTCTCTCATCGATGTTTCTGACTATCTCTCTCCCTTCCTCTCTGTAAAAAATCAATAAAATATATTAAAAAAAATTATAAAAAAAATCACAAGTCAAATCTATTATTCAAATATGTTTGTAATCAGTACAAGAATCTGTTAGAATTTCCAAAATTATCTTAAATATTATAAGAATTTAAAGCATCACATTTTTGCATAGATTGCTTAATGCAAAAAATATTAGCATTGAGAGTTTAAAACATTTCTAGTTGTGATTCTAAATTGTAGTTGAGGTTAAAAGATGCTTATTGTCCTAAAGCAGCAGTTCTTAAATTGTGGGTCGCGACCCCTTTGGTGGTCGAACGACCCTTTCACAGGGGTCGCCTAAGACCATCGGAAAACACATATATAATTACATATTGTTTTTGTGATTAATCACTATGCTTTTTTTTTAAAAATATATTTTATTGGTTCCCTACAGAGAGGAAGGGAGAGGGACAGAGAGCCAGAAACATCGATGAGAGAGAAACATCGATCAGCCGCCTCCTGCACACTCCCCACTGGGGATGTGCCCACAACCACGGCACATGCCCTCGACCGGAATCAAACCCGGGACCCCTCAGTCCACAGGCCGACGCTCCAGCCACTGAGCCAAACCGGTCAGGGCTAATCACTATGCTTTATGTTCAATTTGTAACAATGAAAATACATCCTGCATATCAAATATTTACATTATGATTCATAACAGTAGCAAAATTAGTTATGAAGTAGCAACAAAAATAATTTTATGGTTGGGGGTCACCACAACACGAGGAACTGTATTAAAGGGTTGTGGCATCAGGAAGGTTGAGAACCACTGTCCTAAAGAATTGTCGTTCCAATTTGGGAGTAATACACTCAAGCAATTTGGGGTATTTATTTCTTTGTTACTGTGCTGGCCAGTGGATTCTTGCCTATAGTAATGATGGGACAAGGACCTGCTCTCCTCCCCATCATCACAATTCTAGGGCTAAGCAGTATGTTGTTATTGTGAAGCTCTCATTCTCTGTAACACAAGAAGGTGACTGGCTCTCAGGGAGAAGAGAGAGGGTCAAGCAACTGCCAGATGCTTAGCAAGATGAATGGAGATAACCAATTCCTGTCCCAGGCTGATACCCACCTTGTGTGCAGCACATTGTCTAATTCCATGGTAATTCATTACCATGGAACTCTATATGTCAGCATGATCAGTCATTTTGCCTCATAATTCCTAATGCTCACTCTCTTTGAAAGGAGATCTAGGTGGCAAATGAGAATTGTTTAAAATAATGAATTACCATTTATATAAAATGTATATTAAAAAATGATTTCAGAGAGAGGAAGAGAAACACCAATAATGAGAATCATTAGTTGTCTGCCTCCTGTTACACCACCTACTGGGGATTGAGCCTGCAAACCGGAGCATGTGCCCTCACGGGGAATAGAACAGTGACCTCCTGGTTCATGAGTCAGTGCTCAAACACTGAGTGACACTGGCTGGGTGAGATGGGAATTTTAAAAAGCCTTCCTGAGTCAACAGAAATGAGCCTAATCAAGCATTGTGATGGTCATTTCCATTGCTGTTACACGAGTTTGGAGCCTGTAGGTAAGCCAGAGCCTGCTGGGCCGGTCTGCCATGGGGCCAAGGACACCAGGAAGCACATGTATCTTGGAAGATCCCAAATCACAAACATGTAGATTACTGAACCCATTTGTCTCCTCAACAAATATTCATGGGCATTAACCAGTCCAGGCCAGTGCTAGGACCCAACATAATGAAGCTTTCTTCTCTGCCTTCCTGGACAGCTCAGGTTAGGGAGATGGCCTCTTCAACTATAAAAGGTGAAAAGTTCTGGGCAGGGGTGGAGGGGTGGGAAGAAGCTTAGAGGGTTGTAGAAGCCCAAACCACACAGAGGGGTGATGAAGGAAAATTTCTAAGCTTTTATAGAGGGTTGGGTAGCAGTCAGTCAGTTGGTGTAGGTAAGAGCATTTTAGCTGAGAAAATAGCACAGGCGCTATCATGAAGCTAAGAGAAAGCAAATCAGTCTAGAAACTGTGCTTTAGTATTCTTATAGCACAGTATAAAGAGAAAGTGGACTCTGACACTAGTGAGGGCAGAGATGTGTGCCGGAGCAGCTTAGGCAGGATCTCTCGGGAGTTTGGATGGGATGAAGTCGGCAGGGTGGAATTAAATATTTTTAGCACTGAATGTGGTCTTTGATGTCACCTACTTTAATCTTCATTTCCAGTATAAGAGTCACCTTTATTTATCCATATAACTGTTTATGGAATACCAAACCCGTGCTAGTCTGTGACATATCCTCTTCCCCTTGAGTGTGGGCAGCACTTGTGAATATGATGGGATTTTACTCTTGTGATTAGGTGATGTTGTAAGCCAAATATGAAGGGATTCTGCAGATAAAACCAGGATCCCTAAAAAGGGAGTTTGACCTGGGTAGACCTAATCAGATGATTCATTTAAAAGAAGTTGGGGGCCTTCTCTGAAGAAATTCAAAGCAGCGATTCTCCTATTGCTTTTTAAGAAATGAACTTCCATGTTGTGGAGAAGGTCAAACAGGGTATAGCGGGCAGCTTCTAGGAGTGGAGGGCCTCAGTCCTATACCAAAAGAAACGAAATTTGGCCAACAGTAAGTTTGGAAGACGGCATGGAGCCTCAGTTGAGATCACAGCCTTACCTGACTTGATTTTAGCCAGGTGAGACCTGAGTAAAGGACCTGTCTAACCCACACTTGGATACCTGCACTGCAAAACCAAGATAATTAAATTTGTGGTATTTTGTTACACAGCAAGCAACTGAAAAATCTCACCCCCAAAAAGCCCAGGCAAAGATTTATTGGCTCACGTAACTGAAGTTTTTGCCCTTCTGCATCCCCTATCTCCACCTCTCAGCTACCCACCTCTTCATGTTGACTGAATTACAACCCCACACAGGCCTTCGGGATCTTAATACGACCCTGACAGCCTGGTCTCACCATACTTTCTACATCAGACTGAATACCTTAAATTCTTTGTCTCAGCATTTCTAAGGAGAGTGTTTGTCTTCTGCCACCTGCCTAGACTGAACCAGTCACTGTAGTCACCATGTGGCCGTTGGTTAGGGCTCAATCTTTTTTAAAAAAAATATATTTTATCGATTTTTTACAGAGAGGAAGGGAGAGAGTTAGAAGCATCGATGGGAGAGAAACATCGATCAGCTGTGGGGATGTGCCCGCAACCAAGGTACATGCCTTTGATCGGAATCGAACCTGCGACGTTCAGTCCACAGGCTGACACTCTATCCACTGAGCCAAACCAGTCAGGGCATTAGGGCTCAATCTTATGCTCTACCATTGACCCAGGGATGGAGCCTTGTAGGTCAAAGATTTTAATGATTGCCCTAGGATTTACAACACACATCTTTAATCAGTTTGCCTTCGACAGTAGATTCCCATTTCCTTCCTTCTAGTTTTCATGTTATTATCATACTTTTATTTTCTTCTAAAAACCCTTTTCCCCATCTCCTACTATTGCTTTCTCCACCCCACACTTGCAGACAACCACTTAACTATGTTTTGTGGCTATAGTTTGAATTTTCTAGAATTTTAAATGGATGGAATCATACAGAATGCAGTCTTTTTGGTATGGCTTTCAGTCAACAGAATTATTTTAAGACTAATCCATGTTGCTGCATGTATCAAGTTTATTTCTTTTTATTGCTCAACATTTCATCGTATTGTTTTACAATTCGTTTATCCATATGCTATAAACACACAATTCATTGCTAATATTTTTGCTTTAGACCAGGGGTTAGCAAAGGATGGTCCATTCACAAACCAAAACCAGCCCACTGCTTGACATTCTATGGCCTTTTACAATTTTAAATGAGGAGAAAAAAAATCAAAAGATTAGTGGCACATAAAATATGAAATTTAAATCTCAGTCCAAAAATAAAGTTTTATTGAAACAGCCATGCTCATTTGCCTATTGGCTAAGACTGCTTTTATTTAGGCTATAACAGTAGAGTGGTTGCAGTAGAGATCATGACCTGCAAAACCTAGAATACTTATCTGTTCCTAAACAGAAAGTTTGCCGACTTCATACTTTAGACTTCAGTTAAAGGTAATTAAAAATTTTCATTTAGTCCACTCCCAGTATTCTTTTCTTAATCCTCACCTGAGGACTTTTTTTTCCATTGATTTTTAGGGAGAGTGGAAGAGAGGGTAAGACAGAAACATCAATGTGAGAGAAACACATTATTGGATGCCTCCTGCATGAGCCCTGACCAGGACCTGGACTGGGGTGGAGCCTGCAACCAAGGTGCATGCCCTTGACTGGAATTGAACCTAGGACCCTTTGGTCTGTAGGCCAATGCTCTATCCACTGAGCCAAACTGGCTAGGGCCCACTTCCAGTATTCTTAATTTTGTTGTATAGATCTAATTTGTCTGATATCATATTCCTTATGCCTGGAGACCTTCCTGTAGTATTTCTTATAGGTCTTCTGGCAATCTATTTCCTCAGTTCTATCTGAGAAAGGCTTTATTTTTCCTTTTTTGAAAGTTGTTTGTACTGCGCATAGGATTCTGCGTTTGTTTTTTCCTCAGCATTAAAGCCATTCCATTGTCTTCTAGCTTGAATGGTGTCTGGTAATTCTTAAGTATCCTCTGTATGTGCCACTTCATTCCCTGGGTTGCCTGTTAAGATTTTCTGTGTAAGCATTTTGAACATGATATGCCTTTTGTGTACAAATTTATTCTGCTTGGTGTTGAGTTTCTTGGATCTATAGTATGGTGTCTGTCAATTTTGGAAAATACCCAAATTTATTCCTTCAAATATTTCTTTGCCCACGTGATTTCATTTGGCCTCTTGTGCTCCAGCAATCCACATGAGCATGCCTTCCAGTGGTTCTCAACCTTGGCTGCACATTAGAATCACCTGGGAATCTTTTTAAAATCCTGTTCTGGGCCTCATCCTCTGGAAATTCTGTTTGTTATGAGGTGGGGCCACAACATTAGTAACAAAGAAACAGAATTTCCAGAGGATGAGGCCCAGAAATCAGCATTTTAAAAAGATTCCCAGGTGATTCTAATGTGCAGCCAAGGCTGAGAACCACTGCTTTACACCAAAAGGCTGCAGGTTTGATCCCCAGTTGGGTTGTGTAGGGGAGGCAAATGATCCAATGCTTCTCTCCCCCCCTTTCCTCTTTCTCTCTTTCTCTAAGGATTAGTAAAAACATAACCTTGGCGAGGATTCAAAAAAAAAAGATCATGCCTTGGGTAGCTGCTGCAATTTCAGCATGGGACTCAGCAGGAGCCGCCCCCACATGAACAAATCTGAATCCAATCAACATAGTTGCTCAGCCCAGCCAATCTTCCTCAACCTGAAGTAGAGCTGCTTGGCTGAGCCTAGTTTAGATCAGTTGAACCTAGATCTGCTGACCTAGAAATTTCTGTGAGGATAAACATTTTTGTTCAAAGGACCACAGAGCAAAAGCAAGAGAAAGAAAAAGTGTATCTGTATTGGCTGGCTAGAAACCTGAACAGGATTCCTGGCAGCACAGGTATGCAAAAGCATTCCAGGAAGCAGAACTAAGCCCGGAGAAATGGGTTCAAATCTCAGGTGCTGGCCCTGGCAGGTTGAGTTGCTAAGGGTGGGCCTCTTAGCCAGCTCCAGCAGCCCCCACTCTGGGAAGGACTCCCTGACTATTTTCCCTTCCCTAAGAGCTCAGGACTCCTTTCTCCTACTGTTTTTCTGTGACATCTATTTTAACCTCAACCCCAAGGCAACCACAATTAATATTTTGTTTTCTTCCAATCCTTTTTTTCTAGCAACAGCCCTTTCAAGTGCCAGGGGATCGTTTCAGTTTCCACCTTGAAAGGCCCAGAGGTTGTCTCCTATCTCCCTGGGGGCATTCTAACCCTATCCCCAAAGGCTCATCTGTTTGCAAGTCTGGTGTCCTAGGGGCCACTGTGACTTCAACATCCACTTACCTTCAGGATGAATTCTGAATTTGTTTCTGTCACCCAGGAATTTCCATTTCTTTCCTTGAAATTGGCTATTTATTTGAAAGTAAATTATGTTAATTTTAGTCAGCATCCTCAATATTTGGAGCAGGAGTTAGCTGACTACAATTTTGACTGGGAAATCTGATTTTTAACCCTGGGGTTTTTTGTGTGTGTGTGTTTTTTACACAGATGAAATGATTCCTCATACACAATTTCATTTCCTGCTTTTGCATTTGAAAAGCACACATTACCCCACAGGATTGATTCTCATGGACAACAACAGTTTGTCAAAAGGCATCTTACAGGTGAGTACATAAGGAACCCTGGGTTGAGAAGCTGAGTGGGTGAATGAGAAACAGAATGAGGTATACATGAGATGTGAGCTGTGGCTATTTGGATTCCTTCATAGAACTGCTCAATACACAGAAGCAAGGTCCTGCCTTTTTAGTTAAGCCTACAAATGTTTGACTCTGACTCACAGGGTGGGATCAGGGAACCACTTACCAGCTGCTGTTGCTTTTCCTTTTTAGAGGAGCCAAGAAAACACTGCCAAAGCAGATGATGTAAGAATGAAGCTGACTCAGAAATACCCAATCACCTTAGGAACTTCTCCAATAAACAGATTGGCCATCCTATAAACTCCCATATAGAGGTACCTGGGGAGAGCTTCTTACAGTAAGGCCAGTAAGAATCCCTGGTGAATATAGCCACAGAGAGGCAAATCCAGATAGCAGTTTGCTATAGTGCAAGAATATTTGGCTTTTAGTAGAAAATTTAAAAATTCAGAGGAGACAGATAGAATCTTAGAGGGAAATTGTAGAGGGTGGGAACAAGGCAATTCAAATTAGACCCTTGACCTGCATTTGTTGAGAACCTGTCATGTTTAATGTATGCATATTTTCCCTTTCTAGCATAAGACACTGCAGCCACGAATAAAAGTATAGCATCTCTTTAGATGTGGCATCATTTTCTGTACATAATCTGGTCAGGATCATTGTTTAGCCTCCAGTCACTTATAATTTCACCAACCACTCATTAAAGAAACCTCTTCTTATGTTAATTCAGTCTGGGGTTTGTGGCTCATAATTACACTTGCAAGCCTCAGGTCAAGTTTCTACTGACCTTGAGATGCTCTTTATGTAACAGCACTTTTATTAACTTTTTGTGTGGTGGGGAGGGGTAAGGTGGAGGTGAGAACAGAGGATGAAATTACCATTTATTGAGCATCTATTATGAGTCTGGTGTGGTGCTAAACATTGTCCTTGTGCTACTCCAGTCAATCATCTTCAATACTGAGGGATAGTGGCCCACTTTAAAGAAAAAAAGGTTTTTATAATTAAGCAGATTAGTAAGACAAGATCATCAGGGAGTTTATATGCAGGTGAGGAGATAGACAATAAATAAATCAACAAAATAATACCATAAAAGTACAGGTGTTGCCCTGGCTGGTGTGACTCAGTGGTTAGAGTGTTGACCCTCATACCAAAGGGTCTTGGTCAAGGGCATGTATCTGGGTTGCAGGTTCAATCCCCAGTCCCAGTTGGGTCTCGTGTGGGAGGCAAACAATGGATGTCTGTCTGTCTGTCTCTCTCTGTCTGTCTTCTTTCTCTTCCTTCTCTTCCCTCCCTTCCACTGACACTTAAAAAGCCATGGAAAAAATATCCTTGGGTGAGGTTAAGAAAAAGGGCAATGGGATAGTGGTAGTGAAGGCAGTGGGAGGAGCAGGGAGACACTTTAGATAGGGTGGAGCATCAGCTGACATTAAGGTTTTCAGACCCATTTTGGGGAGGGAACTAGGGACTATTTTACTTCAAAGCCTTTGGCTAACTTTTTCCTTAAGGAGGAAAAGGCCTGGAAGACAGCCTTTCTAGTATGCATGTCACCAAGTATAGACTATACAGTTCCTAAAGCTGAGGCACAGGGAGGAGGAATTACCAGTAGGGAGGCAGATAAAGACTAATGATTAAACAACTACTCAAACCCAACTCTAGTCTTAGGAATTTGCTGGTGGGAATCTTTAGGCAGTTTCCCTAATATGACAAAACTAGATTTTTCAAGAGATGCTAAAACAGTCAGTATTAATTATAACCACACTTGAACAACAGGTGAAACAAGATGAAATTTAAAGATTGAGAGAAAATTAACATTCCCAAGTATGTCAACCAATCTCAAATTTTCTGCACTACTTTAAGGCTATAATAATTAGCCATACTCTGAAAATCTAATTTTACAAAATATATTCCTGTCTCTAACAGGCACACTCTAACAATTTATCTTCCTATATTTATCATGTATAAAATTGGAATGTTAGAAAGTAAAGTTCATGTTAGACATTTCAGTTTTAAGATATTACACAATGACTACTTTATTTAAAACACACTTCTCAACTCCAAATATTGATAAGATGTAGATGCCATAAGATAGTATGCAGTGAAGATTTAAAGGAAACTAATTTTTAAAAACTGTAAATGAGAAAGAATAAAAGGCAATTCAAGTATATATTTTTGTAAAATTTACTTATTTGGCATTGATAAGTAAGTAAAACACAGTTTCATCTCTTTTACCAGCCTTCTTGAGAGTTTTGATCAGAGCTGCCAAGTATGTGCTCACCAGCACACCTTCATTCCAGACATCGAGACTTTGCCAAATTGTCTCAGGGACTGGGGTAATCACCTTCCACAGGGCTTATTGCCATTCATTGAACACTGGTCTTTTCTGCTGTGAACAAGCTGTCTCCATGGACCTTTTCACTTAAGAATCATTCAAACTTTCTAAAATCAATGTCAGAGCTGAAAAGGAACTCAGAAGACAACTCACCTAGTCTCCTCCTGACTGAACACACACAGAACAGAGGTCTGGAGAGTTCCAGAGGAGACTGTATAGTGAAATTACTAGCAAAGTCAGGACCAAGGACTAATCCTCCATAACAGGGGGTCAAGGAAACTAGGTTTATCAAGGGCCTAATAAGTGCATTAATACTTGACATTTACACTGATTCAATTCCAAGGAAGCAGTGGCCCCATTTTATAGATGATGAAACCGATTCAGAAGTTAAGTAATCTGCCAAGTGCGTGACAAGGGCAGGAATGAAACCAGTCCTGGTTAGCAACATCACACTCTCTTTCACTGTATCTCAATGTCAAAAACTCCCAGACTTTAGTGCTCCTCAACCAATCTTAAGTCATCCCACTTCACAATCCCTATAAACTCAATATTAAATTCAAAGTACGTGAGAACTAAGCCATCTATCACATACGGTGTCGGTTGGAGAAGCATACTGCTCAGGCTGTAGGGACATTTCATTTGTTTAAATGTTTTTATTAAAAAAAAAATTTAAAGACCTTCATGGCACAACTTCTTCCCAGCACAGTTATGTTTTAGTTATACCAATTACAATACAATTACAACCAATAAATCAAGGGGTAGAGGGGGAACTTCTGACTTCAAACTTAAAAAAAAAGGGCGGGGGGAGAGGGGGAAGCCCACTTCAAACAAAGTTAAAAAATACTAAAAAACCTTTTAGAGTAATTGCCAACACAACTGTCTTATATTGGCATTCCATCTCCTGCAATCTGATCGATGCAGACACAGATAGTGCTGAGAAATAAAGTGTCCCAATACAAGGTATACAGATGAGGTAATTTACAACAAAGAAGTTGTTACTCTGTAAACCCTTACCCCCCCACCCACCCAATTGGGTCTTTTTTTCATGCTTTTGCAGTGACTCCTTAATTAGCATTTAAAAAAGTTTGTTTCTTTTAAAAGGCTCTTGGGTGGCATTTCAGAGTCCTCTCCATTTACCTTCAGTTTCTTGCAAGGTCTGATGCGTGTTAGGAGGTTCAGCTGTCTGCAGCTCCTCACATCAGCCTCTGCTACACCTAGATTCTCTGAGCTACAAGGGTAGGATGTGAAGTCTTGATTTACAACAACCCTCCTCCCCACCTAAAAAGAAAGAATTTATTAGTCATAGTGTCCTGTTCAAATCACAATCCAGTGCAAACGTAATCACAAATTGCATCTCTGGCACATCCGGTGCTTTTAGCTTCTGCACAAATTCAACATGGTAACCCACACAGCATTCTAGGGCATAAAAGGGTCAAGAACAATAAATATCCACTGTAAGTGGCCACAAGAAAGAAAACCACCTGCCACACAGAGTGTTCGCCCTGTGGTTGAGAAGCATTACACAAGGAGGCTTTAGCTTTCTCTAAAGTTCATCATTATACTCACTAAAGCCATCACCTTGATAAAGTAAGTTACTAGAGCCAATTTGGGTTACAAAGTTAGATAAGTTCATTAGATTCAACTCCTCAAATAATTACATTTATCTATGACGCCCAGATGAGAAAGGCTTATGAATCTATAAAGGTAGGAGAATGGGGAACTAAGGTTTTAGGCCTTAAAATATGTTGGAAGAATTTTTCCTAGTCCCCACAAGCAGCTACTGTAATTAAATCAACAGAAGATACAGAGCTGATGGTTTTGCTATTGTGCTTAAAAAACTAAGCTTCCTCAGTGAAGCACCTGATAAACTTAGGTGGTTGGATTACAGTGGAAAATCCACTTTACATACACACAAACACACAAAACTGGCGACTTTTCCATCCCCAATCCCTGCACTGCTGAGACACAAAGTGAATTTTATGGCAAAGGATCCTTAATCCCCAGAGACGCTTTGGCTTGTGGTGCTTTTTTAAGGCCTCTCTGCCCTGCCTGGTACCATGGGTCAAATGAGGGGTGTATAAAAATGGTGGCCTTAGGAAGCCTCCACGGTACAGGGCTGCAGGCCCCTCAGATGTGAACGTGAGACACCCACCCAGCGAGACCTTTACACAGGGAACTTAAATCTAACCTTGATAAATAAAACCAAACGTTTATTTACACCAAAGAATTCCAACACTGGATCTTTCACATATGAAGGACAAAGTATTATATATATACACACAGCAAAGGGTGGCAGGGCTGTAACAAGAGTTTATAGTTTCCCCACAATTACAGGTCTACCATTTCAGTTTCACTGGAGACAGTGGTTCTGCTCCTACCTCTCAGATACATTTACAAGACTGAGGGGCAGGCCTTCTCACTGAATGGCATGTGAAGAAAGGGGAAGATAGGAGGGAAAGAAGGTGGAAAGCTTAAAATGAAAGTGTGGCCACATCTCCCATTAGCTCTTAAAGCGTTCTTAACATAAAACCTATATAGATAATTTTTTTTTCTTTTGTAAAAAGCAATAAATTATACCCAGTAGCTAATTGAATTCAAAATGGCCAAGTCTCCTTCCAACTATAGAGTATGCTGGGAGACGAGAGGGGAGAGGACCAAGGTAAAGAGCCTGGGAGGGAAGGTTACTGAAGTTTTAAACTAAACTTATAAGTGAGTTGGATTTAGGGTCAGGTCAATAAGACATGATTCAGACTGAACAGAAATTTTCAGGACCTGTCAGCACTTCGGGTAGATTTTTCAGCATCTCAATGTAACTATAATTAAGACATACTTCCACTAGATTCACCAGGATAACCCCACTGAAGCACTTTGGGAATAAAGTGATGTAAATGACGAGCAGTACACTGCTTTTATAGGTTGGGTCCTCCCTCCTTCCTTCCCACCTCCCTTGAAGAAGCTACATTTTTGTAATCTCTGGAAAAGAGCATGAGATACAAGCCCCCTGCCCCAAAGTGTGGGATGGTGGGTGAACAATGGCATGGGAAGAAATCTCCACCCAGATGCAGAAGCAGGAATTGAGGCTGGTTTGTCTTTGTTTTTTAGTGATGAGGAACTGAATTTGGAAGGGGAGAAAAAAATTTGTCCGTGAAATATTCCACTTGCAGGTAATTATTCAGGGAATCCCCTGAGTTATGAAAAGTTCGAGTTAAAAAAAAAGAAAGAAAAAAAAAAGAAAATCAGCCTATTGTAATTCTTTTTTTATGACTGAACTACTATAAATCCACAAGCAACGGTTCAGACACGGTGCTTCTTAAGTATTTCACCCTCCCCGCCAGGCGCAAGCTGCATCAAGGAGAGAGTGGACTCCCCCACCTCTGCTCAGGCCTCAGGAGACAGAAGGGGCCTTTATTGCTGAGCGCCAGCGGCAGCCGGAACAGGCATCCCGAGGGGGTTGGCAGCAGCAATCACTGGTGAGCCTGCCAGAGGTCCGAGGGGTGAAGGGGTTGGCACTGAAGAAATCCCTGAAAGAAACAGATGAGGGTAAGTCAGAGACACCAACCATGGAAATCTTAGTCACCAGTTTCCCATAGCCCCTATCACAAAAGTGACGCACAAATAATTCTCTTGGTCTGTTCGCTACTTCTATGTCTCTGGATCTATTTTTTTTCATCAGTTTATGTTGTTCATTATATTCCACACACAAAAAATTTCTCTTTAATAAAGGCATCTCCTTTGCCAGATTTTTACAAATTAAACTGATTTCAAATTAAATCCTCAAAAATTAAAATGGCAAGT